AATATTTCAAAAATAACCAATCAAATATTTTGGGCTCAAATTTAGAAAGGTAGCAGTTTGTAAAGGCATTTTAGCATAATTGCCAATTTAATATGTATAGAAAAAAAAACTCTTATAAAAATTCAAGAATACGGAATTATCACAATTTATGGAATATCAATTCACAAATAAACATTTCACAACAATACTATAATCAATTACAAAAATGTCAATTTTTAAATAATAAGGTAGTCATTTGCACATGAATTTTACAATGTCTAAATATTCAAAACAATAGAAAGTAATATCACAATTTTACTAAAAGCAGAAATATCACATTTATTTCTAACAATAGACAAGAAAAATAAATAAATTTATTTTTCTAATTTACAGCATTCAAAATTTATAACGTAGATAAAATATCACAATTTTTATTAAAAAGATTATTTTTCAAGATAATGAGGTCACGTGCGCATAAAATTTATCGCGCCTAAAATTCATGATAATAAGCAAAAATAATTATTTCATTTTATTTTTAAAAAGAATGGATTATTTTTCGAGACAATGAGGTTACTTACACACAAAACTGATAAAATAAAGATCCTAGACGGAAATATCACTATTTATTAAAAATATACTATTTTTCAGAAAGACGATGTCACTTACACACAAAACTTATAAAATAAAGATCCTGAACGGAAATATCACTATTTATTAAAAACAGACTATTTTTCAGGAAGACAATATCACTTACACACAAAACTTATAAAATAAAGATCCTGGACGGAAATATCACTATTTATTAAAAACAGACTATTTTTCAGAAAGACAATGTCACTTACCCACAAATACTTGAGAAGGAGCTTCCGATAAAAATTCGGCTAGAGAGAAGAGTTCACTGTGTTTCGACCAGAGAGAAAAATCTCATAAGTTTTCTAAGATAGGAGTCCTCATCTCTTTGAATTTAAATTCTACTAATATATTATTTTATTCTTTTATTACGTTACAGGTGTGAGCGTTAGCTTACGCTTTAAACGACTAAAGCCCACGTCCTTTAGTGGAGGACGTGGCAAGTGCAAAGAAGCGACAAAGCTTTTAAACGAAAAGCTTTGAAAAGTAGAGATGGTCCTTAAGGACCATCATGTTCAAACGAATCATCATGTATTAAAAGTTTTTTTTTTTTTTTTTTTTCAAAAGTTTAGGATTGTTACAAGAATGTATCTCAAAATTTAAGAGAGAAAAACTCTATCAAATTTTAGAGAGAGAAACAACCCGAAATTTTTAGAGAAAGAAACCATCTTAAAATTTCAGAGAGAAATTCTCTCAAATTTCAAGTTTTAGAGAGAAACAAATCTTGAAAGTTTAAAAATAGAAACTATATTGAATTTTAGAGAGAGAAATTACTTGATTTTTTTAGAGAGAGAACTATCTCAAATTTCAAGTTTTAGAAAAAAAGTATTGTAAAATTTTAGAGAGTTTTATCATATCAAATTTTAGAGAGAAAACTACCTAAATTTTTTAGAGAGAGAAATATCTGAAACTTTTTTGTGAGAGAAACTATCTCTAAATTTCAAGTTTTAAAAAGATAAAGTATTTTAAAATTTTAGATATATAAACTATATCAAATTTTAGAGAGAGACTATCTAAAAAAATTTAGAGAGATAAACTATCTCAAAAATTTCATATGGAGAAACTATCTTAAATTTCAAGTTTTAGAGAGAGAATGTATCTTAATTTTTTAGAGAGATAAAATACTTAAATTTTTATAGAAAAACTATATTAAATATTTTTAAGGGAAATTATCTCAAATTTTAAGCTTCAGAGAGACAGAGCATCGTAAAATTTTAGAGAGATAAACTATATCAAATTTCAGATAGACAAACTACCTAATTTTTTTTTAGAGTAACTATTTTAAATTTCTTAGACAGATAAACTATCTCAAATTTCAATTTTTAGGTAGAGAAGCTACATCAAACTTTAAAGAGAGAAACAACATGAAACTCTTTAGAGAAAAAATTATATAAAAAATATTAGAGAGAAGTTATATCAAATTTCAAGTTCTAGAGATAAAGTATCTTAAAACTTTAGAGAGTGAAACTATATAAAGTTTTAGAGAGAGAAATTACCTTACCTAGAAAATTTTGGAGAGGGAAACTATCTCAAAAGTTTTAGAGAAACTTTCTCAAATTTTGAGTTTTAGCGAGGGAAAATATCTTAAGGTTTAGTGAGAGAAATTATTTCAAATTTTAGAAAGAGAAACTACCTGAAATTTTTTTGAAATAGAAACTATTCCAAAATTTGTAGATAGGGAAAATTTCAACTATATGAAAGTTCAAATTTTTAGAGAGATAAATTATCTCAAAATATTTGGAGAGAAACTATATCAAATTTAAAGTTTTCAGATAGTTTTCTCTCTAAAAATATTGAGATAGTTTCTCTCTCTAGATTTTTTTTGGTAGTTTCTCTTTCCAAATTTTGGTATAGTTTATCTCTCTAAAAGTTTGGTACAAACTTTTATAAAAATAAACTCTTTATGGGCGTGTTTGATAAGCGGCAGTTTCTAGAAATGGGAGTCAAATGTCCCCTTTCCATATTACTGTATGGAAGTTGTAAAGTGGAAGGGTGACCTTCCATACAGCTTTTTTTTAGTGTTAACGTGGGTTCATTTTTTGAAGACTTATCTTCCATAAAAAATGATGGAAGAGCAATCTTCCATAATTTGTAGGAGAGTCCCTTCCACTCCCAAATACTCCATATGTCAAACACACCCTATATATATTGTTGCATACCAAGTATGTGGAACATAATTTTCATATGAAAATATTTTGCATTAAAATATTTCGTGCCTACCAAATGTGTCATAAATAGTGTAAACTCTAGTTATGCAAATAGATGACCCAAACAAGAGATTTACATGACCTTTGTATCCAAATAGCCATTTCTCAATAACCCGGTTTTGAGATAACGGGGGTTTGCATAACCATGTTACGATCCGAAACATGGTTTTGTTTACCCTAGTATCTAAACGAGCGCTTAGTTTCTAGTAGGTGAGAGAAGGAAAGAGTTTTAATTTTCAAACATTGGAAGAAAATAAAAAACAAGCCTACATACCAAACAACGGAAAAAATCGGAAAAGATATAAATTGCTAAATACGTGACATAATGAATAAATACAACCATATATGTTTTTTAAAAAAATCTAGATACAACCCAATTCCAAGACAAATAATATAGTTAAACTAAAATAGAACAGAAAAGAAAACCTCAAAAATAGCTGAAACTTTTTTTTAGCAATAGACAACTAACTTAAAATTTAAAAATAAAAGTGAAAAAATACCACACAGCAAATCTATAAAATAAATAAATAGCCAAATATTTAAAAAATGACAAGGAACCCAATCTAGATACTACCCAATTCACAATGCAAATTTGACAAGTCAAATAAATTCATTAAACGAGCACACAGAGAATCCACACAATACTACTTCCCAGACAAATAAAAATAAAATATAAAAATAAAAAACTCAATCCATTCTACATAAAACAAATAAAAAACTAAATTCAAAGTAAAATATAAATAAAAAACTTAAACCATTTTATTTTCAAAACACCACAAAAATACATCGAGAAGAACAAAAGGAAGAATAATTATACAATCCGAGGGAGAGTTTCACTGCAGTGTTCCACCTACAAAAGTGAGCAGAGCTCCAATCTCAAAGAACCCTCAACCTCTCAATTAATGGTCAAAATATATTTTCATTTTAGTAATCACATAATTTAATGATCTGTGCCAAATCTTTAGGTCAGCTAAATGAGCATGATGTGCATATTACATACAAGGGCACTCCAACGATCATCCATATGCGATCCATACTAGATCTACTTGTTTCTTTATGTTACGAAGTTGTTGTAATTTGATAGCTCGATTATACAAGTGTTTATCATGTGAAATAACTCAAATTTTGATATGTTCTAACATTATAATTTCATATATGTATGCTTTTATAAATTTATTTATTGCTATGAGTTGTATTTTAAACTTCATTTTGATTGTGAAATAAATGTAATGGCCAACAAACACTCTGACATGCTATAAAAATATGTTTTTAGTATATATGTATTTTTGGTAAAGTAATGAAAATATATTAATGCATACCCCATTCTTCGAAAACTAGAAAACTAGGCTTTTATGAAATTTTAGTAACTGTTTGAAATGTTTTAAGGTAGGATTGGCCCAAGTTAGTAGATCCACGGATCCGGATTGTCAATTTTCCAATCTAGATCGGTTTCTCATACAATCGATCCAGATTTCAAACATTGGGCATGAGTTAAATCACCTATAAACCTACTTACGGAGTAGGGGTGGCAACGGGACATGATTAAATTCAAATATACCTATATTTATTTATATTTAATATATTTCATATATTGGGACTCAACAAATATTACCAGGCCCAGATTCAGACACGATCAGACTTGATTGGGGCCGGACTCAAAGCCGAATAATGTTCAGGTCCAAGATTTAGACACGGACCCGACCTGCGAGTCCAACTTTTGGACTCATACCCAGATCCGGATCCATTGCCACTGGAGGATCCCAAACCCGAATTATGAGCATACAGTTTAACGAAATAGGAAAATACTCGGTCTTATTAAAGTAACTTTTTATTGATAAATTGATTGATTTTACCACTTTAATGATATGTTTCATGCTGAATTGACCTTTTTAATGATATTTGCCCTTTTTTGTTTTTGTCAAATACCAAACTCTTGGTCAAGGACCCCATTGGAGGATTTGGCTTGCCTCCCACGCTTCTTAAGAATGCATTGGACGATCTGGATTGCCTCCCAAGCGTCTTTACACTCTTTTACCGCTTACTGCCCCTGCTTTCTCGCATCCGATCCCTACGCACGCGATTATTTTTCACGTCTAGAGGGAGACAGAGAGCGTGGGAATTAGGGTTTAGGGTTAGACAGGGAAGAGTGAAAGTGTGCCAAGTGCAAACGACAGAGATAACCTAGAGAGAAAGAAGAGACACGCAGCCTCATTGCTTCCAGCCATGGCTGAAGATGGGCCTCCAACTCGAGAGCTGGAGGCCATGAGCCTGGAAAGTAAGGTCAAGTGGTCGAAATACTCGAAGCGGGTGCTCATCAAAAGCATACTAGGTCGCGGAGATGGTGGCGTGGCCTTGGCTGGTGAGAAGGTTATAGTGGGTGGTTGGGTGAAGACGGGAAGAGAGCAGGGCAAAGGCCAGTTCGCCTTCCTCGAGCTCAATGATGGCTCCTGCCCCGCTAACTTGCAGGTACTTCTCATGTGCCCCAATCCTTTCCATCTCATCTTATTCTCTCTCTATCTCTTGCTGCTTTGGGTTTTTGGATGATATAATGACTTTTATGCTTCGTTACTCCTTTTAGTTTGCTCTGGTGCTTTGAATTGGGCCATGTCTTTTATGTGATTTCTGTTGCTTTGCGTCGAAATGTTCGATTCAGATGGCTTTATGCTTTTCTCCTCTTAGTTGATTTTTAGTTGTAGCATTTAATGATGCACTGTGTTTCCAGATGTGACTGATTTTTAGTGTTAGATTGGTTGATTATTGGGCTATTGGTAGAGGAAGGATGCATTTAACATTCACTATTTTAATTTTTTGTATTTGTATTTGATTGCGCAGGTTATAGTGGACTCTTCTGTAAGAGCTCTTGGTGATCTTGTACCTACTGGAACATGTGTGGTTGTTCAAGGGGAGCTCAAGAAGCCACCTGAAGGAACCAAGCAAAATGTGGAGCTTAAAGTCACTGATGTTTTGGAAGTTGGTTCTGTTGATCCAATCAAATACCCAATTCCGAAAACCAAGCTCAGATTGGATTTCCTTCGAGACTTTGTGCACTTGCGTCCTAGAACCAATACGGTAATTAAGTATGCCTTTCAAAATACGAATGGGTCTTCTATATGAGTTTTCTTAGGACAAATGGGTGGACATTTCTGATATATTTACATGCTACATACATTGGTAGGTTTCTAGAGATTGATAGGGGAAGGATGGAAGTTTTGATTGCATTGTTTCATTTTAGTATTCTATAGTCATGTTATCTTCTAATTTCTGTCTAATTAGTATCTTGATATGTATCTTATCTTCTAACTTCAGCATTTCCCATTGGATCATATTGCTCCTTATTCATGGATATGGGATTATGATGGCACTTCATAAGAAATGAAGGAATGTAGCAATAATTTATTATTTAGTGACTTTCCACTGTCTGTGTGTGTGTGTGCGTGCGTGTGTGTATGAGTGTGTTTGTGTGTGGGTGTGGGTGTGTTTGTGTGTGGGTGTGGGTGTGTTTTTGTGTGTGTGTGTGTGTGTGTTCTTGGATATCTATGGACATCAGGGCTGCAAGGGGGCCTAATTGTAGATGAAGAAACCCTTTCACTATGAATTCTTCTTCTTAGAAGAAGTTTCTTTTTTCTACACTTCACCAGAATTTCCCCTTATGTAACCTGTACCTGTGCACATTGTTTTTGCATTTACCTTGTGTATTTCCTGATTTTCTTTGCACTCCCAAGGTTCAAGCATACCTTTTCTTCTATTATTTTCTTTGCTTCTCTTGATACTCCCTGCATTTTAGGATAACATGATCCTATATATCTACCTATCTATCTATATTATGTTCAAAATTTTCCTTTTCCATAGCTTCTGATTTTTTTGAGCTTTAAAACAAGCAAAAAGTAAATGTAAATAAAACCTCTTCGACTCCTTTTGGGTTGACTTGGTTTCAATTGGCTCTCAAGGCTATGTCTTGAGTCATATTCCTATTTTTTAAAATTTGGAAGAAGCATTCAACCCACTTGCATGCATATTCCTTGCCCAACAAAAGTAAGGAAATTCCGAATCCATAAGAGTCTAAATGCATGAGTTGTTTATTCCAAAACTGACATCTCCCTTCCCTCATTGTCATACCAACATCCTTTCATAGATTCCTCAATGATCAAGCGTAAGATGCACTATTGTCATCCCTCACCCCTTTATGTCATTGATTACTAGGTTTGAACTAGTGTTTTAAAATGCGGCCGCATCATACGGGATGCGCTCGCATCCGCATCAGAAACAGGCGCATATGCGCTTTTGACAGATGCGGCCGCATATGTGCCGCATTAGGCCGCATCCCACTGCTACAGTGTCCGTCGAATTTTTTTCTGTTTTGCCTCTCGGGGAGGGGAAAAATGGTCTATTTGACCATCCAAATGTTAGGGAAACTGTTTGGGGGGGGTATTAGGGGCCCTAAACAAAGATTTTCAGCCACTTTTGTGGCTTTTTTTGCATCAAATTGAGGTAAAAAAAATTTTGGCGGAATTTTTTTTCATCGAAATCTTCAATTTGGCGGTTGTTTGATACTTGGATGTTCATCGGATGCTTTTGATTGTTGATTTGGAGATGTTAGGGTGAATTTGTGATAAGAAATTAGGGGTTTCAAAGGTCGTAAAGAAATCGAGCAGTACTTCATAGAGTCGGTAAATTTTTTTTCCTTCTTGTACAATATTACTATTATACATAGGGGCAATGTCTTCTTCCCAATCTTCTAGTAATAAGGATCCGGCTTGGAAATATGCTAAACTAAACTATCCCAAAGATAGAAATTGTGTGATATGCTTGCTCTGTGGAAATACTTATATATATTGGATAACTGGATATAAAATCTTCGACAGCTAATAGTTTTGAAGTTAATCATTAAACTAAAATACCTACTATCACATACATCACCTTCATATTTTTTTCTATGCATTAGCTTATTTTTTTAGATTTCTTAGAATTTATTTACATTTATTGACTGCATCATCGCGATGCACCTGCATCCGGGCCGCATCGCCGCATCAGCCCCCACCACATCAGGGCCACATCCCGCATTTTAAAACATTGTTTTGAACCTCTTCCTTCTTCACATGGTGAACCTCATCCAATTATAATTGAGTTATTGAAATTTCTTAGCCATAACTATCAAATTCTATCAGTCATTCCATTGTCATCCCAACCATTATAAAAAACTTAATGAAACTTACTAAAAATTTCTTAGCCATTACCTTGTTATCCCAACAATACATTGTCATCTCTCTCAGCCAATGTTCGCAAAACCGGCCTGTTAGAACCGGAACCAGCCGGTCAGATCGCTACCGGTGGGGTGGCGAGTCCGGTTAGGCCGGTTTTATGGCACACCACATATGACAGAACTGTCCAAAAAAAATCGGGACCAAAACGGGCTGGTTCGAGGTCGAACCGGCGGTATTTAGATCAAACCGGCCGGATTTTCTAACCGGTCCGGTTTACCGTTTTAACACTGATATAGCGTCGTTTTAATGCATCAAATAATGGCCGTTATTTGACACAGACCTGTTATTTTACACAGAACAATATTTTGCAGCTTAATTTTTATTCCATTTTCCAATTTTTTTTTGTTTTTCAGTCAAATATTGATGTTATACACCTGAAGAAATCATAGATTATTGAATCAAAAATCAAAAAACAAAGAGTTCTTGGCGGATTGAAATGGGGATTTTTGAAAATTAGATATTTCTGCCATTCTATCAAATGCTACTTCAATACCTCATAAATTTTCATAAAAATAGAGGGCTTTGATTAATTGTTGAATTATTCAATATTTACATATTTCAATTTTTCCAAAAAAATGAAGATTTGAGGTTTTTTTGGGCCCCAAGTACTACTGCTCGAGGAACTGTTTTTTATCCAAACAAATTGATTTTTGATCGATAAATTGAACGATTTTATTGAATTGATCACTGAATTTTGATCATAAAGGCATCATCTATCAAATAAAATAGTTACTTTGATTTACTATTGATTAAATGTTTTTATATCGATTTTTTTTTTCTGCGTTTTTTCCTGAAATTTTCGTAAAGTGAAAAATCTGCAATTTTTTGAATAAAGATCTCACTAGTCAATTAATCTTCATGAAATTTGGGGCATTTGAATCTTAATTGAAGTATCTATCATATCCCCATGTCAATTTGTTCAAAAAATGAAAGATTTGGGGTTGATTTTGACTCTAAAGTTTATGTGTTCTTTGGCTTGATTTTGGGGTTCTTAAAAAAAATTTGTTTTTTAATAAATTACGTTTTTTTTTAAAAATATGTTATTTGTGATGAATATGATAAAAAAAGAATATATATATTTTTTAAAATTTTATATATTTTTTGTGAGCTTGTTGGATTATTTTTTATTGTTATATATTTTTTTTTTACAAAAACATGTTTTTTTGTGATGAATATGAGAAAATCAAATATTTCTTTCTTTTTAATTGTTATATATTTTTGGTTGAGCTTTGTTGGTAGTTG